CGAGTAGAAAGCTACCAAGATCCAAGCCATGTAAACCCGTGATGGACTCGCTGAAGCCTCGGCTCGTAGCCCGCTTTCCGATTTATGCCAGCGTCAGGAGGGAATTGGTAATGATGCCCACATTCTGGTACACAGCGGTTGAAAAGCTTCGCAGCAATCCCGGAGGCGACGTATTCTGTCCCGGCAACCGTCCGTTATGAATTGAATGAGGTGAAAAGAGAAGGATGCAATGGATTACTCGACAAAATCGCTCTGACAGAAGCGATCTGAGGCCGGGGTTTATTTTTATTTTTATTTTTTTTTTTATTTTTATTTTTTTTTTTATTTTTTTTGCTTTTCTGCAACGACTTATGACGACACGTAACGACAACACTTTAGAAACGCCCATCATGCTAGTTAAATGGCCTTGGTTTTGTTCAGAAGGAGAAGGCCAGGGCTCCATACTGTTGGTCTTATTTTGCAAGACCCCTTCCACTTTTCATTTTCGCACTTTTTTTTTTCCATTTCAGGTATTCTGGAATTTCTCTTTGATGATCAAAGACCACGATGAGCGGTCTCATGCCCTCTATCCGATTCTGCGCATTCAGTCTCATGGCTGGGATTATCAACAGGACCAGCCTTTGACAAATTATTTCAACTTTTGGGAACACGTCTGCTACCAGGGTATGAGCCAACAAAACTGTGCGACGGTGGAAATCAGGTTTTTGCGCAAAGTGTAGGCTGGGCGGCTGTGTTTTTTCGGCCGTTCCAACCTTTCACGTTCTCCCACTGCCCGTCTCTGTTTCTGGTAATACCTTGTTTGCAGACGATAGGGCGGCTCTTGTCTATTCTGTCCAATTCGGTTTTGATTGCATAGCCTGCGAACGGATCCAAAAAGTCTACATGCATGACGACAAAATGAGGGATGATGAAGAAGGTGGTGCCGGCACACTGGCAGAAGCAACAAGGTCTCTGGATCTACAATTCTTTTTTGTTCTGTTTACTTCTGGAGGCTGGAAGCGATGGATCAAGACTGCGCCCTTTTTGCTTTTTGTTCTTAAAAATGCCCTTGTCTGATTGAGGAAGGACTGAAAGAGTTGAAGGCCTGACGCGAGTTGGGTTCTTCAGATTGACTGGCGACTATGATGATGATGCGTAAGACACTCGAAGAACTCTATGATAATGATTATGATTATGATTGTTTTTCCCTCTATTTTCGTCTCCAGTTGTTCTTCTGCCTCCTCTTCTGGCGGCGCTTGTGACTAGTTGTTCATGTTCACTGTGTGGACTTTAAGTGATTGTTCAACAACATCCTGCACCAATTGCAGAATTCCGGTTAGAGTTTCTATCATATGTAAACAGAAGCTCTTATCAAAACATGCGATATACTTGTTACGTCACAAATTTATTCTTCACTGCCCCTGTAAGGTATCAGGGGACTTGTCTTGACGATCGGGATAATACCCATGCAACCATGTAACCAGGGATGTTGTAGATCGGAGATCGGATCCTCAAGTAAGACACGGTGCAACACCATGTCAAAGTCGAACACAAAAGTTTGGGGGCCAAAAAGTTTCCACAATTCTGCGTCTCACCAAGAAGGCCATCGGGACTGAGAGCTGTTTTTGAGCGCCGTTCTCAATGCCGCATTATAGCCGTAGAGGATTGACGATGATGGTTCATCAAGAGTTGAGGCGTGAATACAGCGCCTCGGAAAATTCTACTCGGGGCGTTCTGGCGTGGGACGGGTCAATCATGGCGGAAGGCATGCAATGTTAGTAGAACCCTCTATATGGAAACAAACAATGCCCGGGTGGTGGATCGGCCAGTATTTGTTAGAGTGGAGGTACAAGGCGCAAGGTACATGTAACAGCGGGACGTGATAACCTTTCCTTGGAGTTCGCCGTTCGGGTCAACAGCAGGGTTGGATAAGAGGACATCCGCAATGTGTTCCAAAGACAACGATATGGCGCGAGTAACATGACTGTTGCCTCCAGAAAAAGCTTGAGTAGAAGGTTTCGCGAGATCTCGGCTGGCAACGGTGGTTTGGTGTCTCGTCGAAATGTCAAAAGGAACAAGCCGAGGAGATGAGGAGAATACACTCCCTTGAGTGTGACATTCTGACGACTGGGATGCAATCGAAGAATATGGCGCCAATGACCCGCTGTGGATGGCGGCGTGCAGCTTTGCAGGTCGGTGATACCAAGTGGTCGGCCGGTTGACCTGATTAATTTTATCCAGGTCCCAGGAACGCAGTCGAAATAGGGTGGCAACCGTGGGCATTTTTTATTAGAATGAAGTTTTGTCACATAGGCCCATCTCCTGGAGCGGTTGTTTTCACCTGAGCTGCGCATACCTAGGTAACCTGACAAGAAGCAGCAGAGGAGAGTTACGCGGCCTTATGTTAGACGGTAATTGCGGCGACTGCGGCAGTAGTCTTGGGGCCCAAGAATGGAAACAGAAGACAATGGTTGATGTCGTTAATATGCACCCGCTGCACGGGGTAGTACACATAGACATGAAGCATTCGAACTAGCGGGATTGAAGAGTTGTGAGTCGTGGCGTTGATGTCTCCCCCGCAGATTGATAAATATGCCGACGACCTCGGGAGTATATGCTCCCAACTTCCCGTGCTGGCGCAGCGATGGCGACGCCGCAAAATGCTATACAACAAGGCTAATAAGCCTGGTGAGGCCGGATCAGCAGTAATGGGACACCTCGAAGACAAACAGCTCTTCCTCGTTCGGCAGGCTGGTTAGTTGGTGGCGGTGGTGTGTATTCGAGCCTGTTCTCTGTAGACATGATGGTGGCTCCGAGAGAGAAAATGGCCGGAAATCATGGCTTTGACCCAAAGGCGCATTCGGCACTTGAGCATCTCGCTGCGTGGCCCAAGGCTTCCCGTGGCCCTTGTGCTACCAGGCAACCCGGTCCAAAGGCGGGAGAGATGGTGGTTGATATCTGAGATGCCATCAACGGTCCGTCTCTGCTTGTCTGCCACCTAAGTGAGGGGTAGGCTGGGCTTCCGTTTTGTCGAAGACGGAAAAAATCGAAGAAGCTGGTTCAAGTGAGACATGCAATGCCAAGTCATGAACTGGACCCCCAAGGACACCCGAAGGATCCCTCGAGGAGACGGATGGAGCATGAGAAAGCCAGGACTCGATGCTGCGGAGGATTTTCGATGTTGGATTCTTTGAGCAAAGTACAGAGTACATGTGTACCTACCATACTTTAGGCATGCCGCATGCAGCATGCTCATAAGCCGGAGGTGGCCCGTGTGATGTCAAGTATCTAATACTCTGTAATTACGGAGTACTTGTTTTGGATTCTGGGGAAGGTGCGCACGACAAGGGTCAAGTCAACAATTGAAGTACATTGTATGGCAAGGGGTAACTGCTTCCTAGCTACCTGCTTTTTGAGTACATGGGCAGGAATTCATGTACTAGTGCAAAGTCTTGACATTTGGACGACGAGAGTGCGTTAATCTTCTCAGTCAGTAAGTCAATCAATCAAGCAATCGATGAAGGCGCGCGCATGCATTGGTCTGTTTTAAAATTCCTAGGTGCATGGCCCCCAAGGTACTCGAGAGGTAGGCGCGGCAAAGAATGCAGCCCTCTATGCGGCCGAGATAATTACCTACTGGTAAGTGATTAGAAGCAGCCGCGGGCCGTACTCCGTACATGAGGCTTAATATCATGACTGCCTTGCATTGGCTGTACTCGCGTGAGAAGCTGCCGTTGAACACGGTGTGCCCAGGTAGGTAATAAGAGGAGCCGCCGATCGGAACAACTGGAGAAGTGAGGATGCTTCCTGGAGTCGTTTGACCCTAGCGGGCCGTTTATCCGCAATGCATTGGTGACAGTCGTCTGATGTCCAAGTCTTGTTTTCATTTTGAATGCCATGTCGATTGCCCAGATGTGTGTACGGAATACTTCCGTCCAATGTGCCGCATCGAGCCACCCCGTGTGCAGATCCAGACTGTTCACGTCTGCCCGCCTTCCGTCTCCTTGCAGGTAGTTATGGGTGGGAGCACCAGGACGAGTCGGGGATTTGATTGTTAGCTGACATGCAGAATGTTTGAATTGATGTTTGACTGGCTGGCTGGCTGACTGACGCGTTGTTCTGGTCTCACAACCTGTTTTCGGAAACCATTTCTGTACAAACCCATCGGGAGGTGCAAAGGCCAACAGTTTGCGGATGGTTTGCTGCCCCCCTGGATACCTCCAGCTCTGCTCAAACGAATGAGCTCGGCATCAAGGCATGGCGCAGCCAAGGGTTGGCATGCCGTTTGTCTGCACGCGCATCTAGATTGTGGCTTCGCCTCGTCGACCTGGCCTCACCGGCTGCAGGATACGAGCACATGGTGGAAGCATGACCACACCACTTTGCATTCGAGTCTGGCCAAGTGTGCAGCTTGGGAGAAGGAAGAAGCTTTTGGACAGACCACAGACTCCACACTCCGACATATAATTGAAGGACCGCACACAGCTGGGACAATTGAACCTTAATGTGCATGTGAACCCTCGAGCCGGGCGGGCCCCATGTTCACTGTCCTTTCCACCCAAGCCGCCCCCTAAACATGACCTGCAAGCAGGTGCTAGTCTCCAGTGCTCTGGGCTGACAGCTGGGTTCAGGCCACAGGTGCACGTAGTCAGTCTGGTCCAGTCAGTGCGCGCCGCCATCGTCAAACCACGTTCCGCCCCACATCTGTCTGTACACTCCACCATCCTCGTCGCTGCTCCGTGCTCCTCCATAATTATACACTTGACCACCATACGATCCTGGGTCCCGTCTCGACTCCTCTGCTCGAGCTCACCGTCTTCGCTTCTCTCGCTCCCATTCACACTCTTCACTTTCGCTCATTCAAGCCAAACGAGCCGCCGTCTCTATCTGCACTGCCTTGCTCCTGCCATTGCAGTCTGATCTTTTTTACTTCTTCACGCGGTTGCAACACCGCTCTCGGCGTCATACCATCCATCTGAGCACCAGACACTCCTTGCGCAACCTCCGCAACATCCGCAATCATGAAAGGTAAATCATTTCGCGACGACGCTACCATTGCCTCTGTCCCGCATTTATTAGGCTGACAAAGTCCACAGGACTTATTCTTGTCGGAGGTTTTGGCACCCGCCTTCGGCCTCTCGTATGTATCCCTTGTCCGAGCGCCCCCCTGAGAGAATGGCTGTTCTACTGGCATCTTGCGATATTCAAGTCCAGATTAAATAAACATATCATGGGGAGAGTAGAAACGACACTGTCTGCATTTCTTACTAACCAAACATTTTACTCTATATAGACCCTCACCCTTCCTAAGCCTCTCGTCGAGTTCGGCAACAAGCCCATGATTGTCCACCAGATTGAAGCTCTCGTTGCTGCCGGCGTCAAGGATATTGTTCTTGCCGTGAACTACCGACCTGAAATTATGGAAAAATTCCTGCAAGAGGTATGCCTCAACACGACTCTACCTCTAGTGGTAGCTGTAATAGGGGCTAGAATCGACTGGAGTACTGACAGATCATGCTTGTAGTACGAGGAAAAATACAACATCAACATCGAGTTTTCCGTCGAGTCCGAGCCCCTTGACACTGCCGGGCCCCTTAAATTAGCGGAAAAGATCTTGCTCAAGGACGATTCTCCTTTTTTTGTCCTCAACTCGGATGTTATTTGCGACTATCCCTTCAAGGACTTGCTACAATTCCACAAAGAACACGGCGACGAAGGTACTATTGTTGTCACCAAGGTCGAGGAGCCGTCAAAATATGGTGTCGTCGTCCACAAACCCAATCACCCATCTCGAATCGACCGATTCGTCGAAAAGCCGGTTCAATACGTTGGCAACCGTATTAATGCTGGCATGTACATCTTCAATACTTCCATTCTCAAGCGCATCGAACTCCGCCCCACTTCCATCGAGAAAGAGACCTTCCCCAGCATGGTCCAGGATAATCAGTTGCATTCGTTCGACCTTGAGGGATTCTGGATGGACGTTGGCCAGCCCAAGGACTTCCTCAGCGGAACCTGCCTATACCTGTCGTCTTTAACCAAGCGCGGTTGCAAGACCCTGACACCGCCCACTGAGCCCTTCGTCCACGGCGGGAATGTTCTCATTGATCCTTCTGCCAAGATTGGCAAGAACTGCAGAATTGGCCCCAATGTTACTATCGGACCTGACGTCGTTGTCGGCGACGGCGTCCGCCTGCAGCGCTGTGTGCTGCTGCGTGGCTCCAAGGTCAAGGATCACGCTTGGGTCAAGTCCACCATTGTCGGCTGGAACAGCACTGTCGGCCGTTGGGCTCGCCTGGAGAACGTCACAGTCCTGGGCGACGACGTTACTATTGGCGATGAAATCTATGTCAACGGTGGTTGCGTCTTGCCCCACAAGTCAATCAAGACCAATGTCGATGTGCCTGCCATCATCATGTAGGTGGTGCATTGACACATCCGTATCAGCCCCCCAGACGTATCCAATATGCTGGCAACAATCGCCAAACCCCCCAACACTCTTCATGTTTCGTCCCATCTTATTTATTGATGTTGTCAACTACCAGATCTGTCGGGGAGGACAGGCTCATCAAACTCTTTTAATTTCAGCCTTTCCGCGTTTGATTCACTATATTATACCTCAGTGTTCTTCGATTCCTTGATACTCTTCTGTGCTTTTCCGTTCGAAATTCATTGATAACTGAACCGCATTTTGTTCTCATGTACTCGAATAATTGGCGTCATGGAATGGCAAGTAGGCAAGCTGGGCAAGCTGGGCAGGCAGGTACGCAGGCATTGCATCTGGGTGGGTGGAAGAGTTTATGGTGCTACGGAGCATGGTATGGCAGAGCAGGGGCACAAACACCAAAAATCAGGGTAGACGGTGAAACCTAACAATAATGACGAAATCTGCTCGCAGCTTGTTACTTTATCACGGACACACGCTCGACTCCTTGGTCAGGTGTGTCTTCATCTTCTTCATCACTCTTCATTTGAATTGTCTCTCCTGAGGCCGTTGAATATTCTTCGGGGGAGCTGCTATCACTCAAGTTTGTTTTGAGTCATGCCCAAGTGAATGCTACCAATCCTACGCCATGATTGAAATCTAGCCAAGCCGCACGTCCTCGTCTAGTCATCCCTCATCCAGCCCCGACACATTTCCACAGCTCTTTCCCACTTCTTTCTTGACGCTGCTCTCTGCTCTTTGCCCATCTTAGGCTCATAAATAGTTCGGTTTGCAGAATTGATATCCTTCAAATCGTCGATACTTGACCACACACCCGTGGCTAAACCAGCGGCAATCGCCGCGCCTAGTGACGTAGTTTCTCGCATAGCCGGGCGGTCTACTCTGATTCCGCTCAAGTCAGCCTGCGTCTGCATACAGAGTTCCGAATTGGATAGGCCGCCGTCGACAGCGAGCGAGGAGAGAGCGCGGCCAGAGTCTTTGGCCATTGCATCGAGTATAGCGGCCGTCTGGTGGCATGCGGCTTCGAGGGTGGCGCGGGCAATGTGGCCCTTTTGCGAGTGTGCTGTGAGACCGACTTTTGCCATGTGAGTAGGGTGGTTCCTGTAAATCAGGGGGGAAGGGATGGAAGAACTTACAGACTGTGCCTTTGGCGTCGTCGATCCAGTACGGGGCAAAGAGGCCGCTGAACGCTGTTACAAAGTAGACTCCGCCGTTGTCGGGAACGGAGAGGGCGACTTCATCTATGGCTTTGGAGCTTTCAATGAGGCCGAGGTTGTTCAATAGGAATGTGACGCCGGATCCCGCGACGGCAATACTTCCTTCGAGTGCGTAGACGGGTTTGCCGTCACCAAAGTCGTATGCTACCGTGGCCAATAAGCCGCTTTTGGAGATGACGGGTGTTGTGCCTACATTGTAGAGCAGGAAGCAGCCCGTGCCGTAGGTATTCTTTGCCTGGCCTGGTTTGAAGCCCAATTGGCCTACAAGTGCAGATGATTGGTCCCCTAGACATCCGGCAATAGGAACTCCCTTGAGAGGACCGCGAGATAATGTGCCAAAGGCCGTGGGATGGGACGAGGGCACAATGTCAGGTAGAGACAGCTTTTGGCGGTCAATGTCAAAAAAGGAGAGTAGTTGGTCGTCGTATTTGAGGGTCTTGAGGTTCATGAACATGGTGCGGCTGGCATTTGTTGGATCCGTGACATGGATGGGGCCACCTTGTCTGTCAATACCGCCGTTGAGTCTGAATATTAACCATGAGTCGATGGTGCCGAATGCTAGACGACCCTCGTCGTAGGCTGCCTTGACAGCATCGTTATTTCGTAGGAGCCATAGGAGCTTAACGCTGGATGGGTATGTGGACAGAGGAAGACCGCACAGGCAGAGGAGCTTATCGGAGCCTTCTTTGGCTTTCAATTCCCGGACGAGAGCCTTGGTTCGGGTGTCTGGCCAGACAATGGCGTTGTAGAGAGGCTCTCCAGTATTCTTGTCCCAGAGGACCGTGGTTTCGCGCTGGTTTGTAACCCCAATAGTGTGGACCTTGGCAGTATCGAAGCCCTTTTCAATAAATTTCTGGGTAGCCTGTTCTATGCAAGTTTCCACAGTTTGGAGTAGTTCATAAGGGTCATGTTCATGCCATCTGTGAGTGGTGTTAGTCGCAAAGAGTGAACTCCCGGAGCACGGAGGACGAAACCATACCCTGACTCGGGATGGATGTTGCCAAAGCCCATCTGATGAAGCGCGACGGGCTCGCCATTTGCATTGAAAATCACAAATCGTGTTGACGTAGTGCCTTGATCAATGCTACCAACAAAGGTCTCTTCAGCATCCCTAGTCCGGGGTCTCTTAGGCTCAGGAGCATCACCCATATTGACAATTTATCGCGAATAATAGCAGCGGTTTTTCTGAACAACTCAAAGAAAAAAAAGACGCTCAAGTCCAGTCCCCCCGGGCAAAAAAAAAAAGTCCTTGGCTCGCGTGGTCTCGCAAAACCGACTTCGTGTGGAGCAACTCGATTCAAGAGAGTGGTCGAGAACGTGGACATGCCCTAAATGTGGGATGAAAAGTACCTAATAATGCGCAATGCGGAGACGTGACGACGCGGGGATGGGGATCTGGGGAGGCAGTGACACAGGTGAATGAGAAGAGAAATGCGACATGGCCTTGGGTCGCAATGGCCAGGGCACGTTGGTAATTTTCGTGATGCCCGTCGACTCAGCCGGCACCTTGGTCATTGTTCGCAGACCCGCCGTGATGCCGGTGACGTGAGGGTCCTGGAGCATCGGGACGGGTTCACATGTGCCTTCGGCAGGGTCTATTATGAACGCCCATTGGTGGAGGAGACAAAGAGAACCCTCTTGCGGAAGTTCTAAACTTGTGGGAACTCAATTCAAACTCAGTCGTGAAACCCCGTCCCTGGCTAATCTGGCGCTGCATTCTGCTCTGGGCCCCGCTGCGGTGGGAAATGCCATTTGCAGTCTGTGTACTCCGTAAATGCAGGCCAAAGAGCGAAGTCGCATACAATTATTGCTGAGCTGCTCAAGTCTGCCAAGACGTCATTTCGTTGAGAGGAACAGTTGCCTTCATTTCGTATCCTGCACATGCAGTTTTGCCCACTATCAGGCCCTACCTTCCGGTTGTTGGCCCTGGTGGCGTGATTTGTACTTTCATCAAAGATGGAAAGAGCCACCGTCGGTCCTCGTGGTTCTGTCGGCCGCCTCTTCTCCCACTTGGTTCAAAGAACAGCTTGAAACCCCAAGAGAATTCTAAACGGCTCCTTTAATTATTCTAAAAATTATTCTCTATTTCGATGAATTCATCTTGCCAAACCTCCAGATCGTCACAACCTGTCACGTAATCACCATGGCCACGCAGCCGTCTGCCAACTGCGGAAAGAGAAGAGTTAGCTCTCCTCTGGAGGATCTCTCCCACCGTAGAGCGAGAATAGATTCTTCAAGCCGCACGTACAACAACTGGTCTGTCCCAGGAGGCGTTACACCGTCATTAGAGAATATGGACAAATTGCGAGAATCAGCCACGGAAGCGTTCGAACCCCGAGCGCAGCAAGAGCTTTGCTCTTCAGGTGAGTGAGACATAACATTTGTTCGACGGGAGCTGACTAAATTCCTAGATGACTACAATGATATGGGCTTCGAGCTCGAACTAGCAATGATTAGCGAAATGCAGACACTGGAGAAAAATTTGACAGCATCATCGAGCTCTACTACCGATGAGCAATTCCATTGTGACGGTATCGACGACGCCGCGCTCCAAACTCTCTTGGAGGAAAGCACGGGAGCAATAGGAGAACATCCCCCTTCAAGTGTAGTTCGGGCCTTTGATGTCGAGTCAAGGTTTGCCGAAGACTACGACCCCAACCTACAGTTTTCCTCCCCGCAAACCAATGAAAGCAATGAGACAATTGGTAGCTGTACCAGCATCCAGTCTACGGAAACGGTTGATTGGGAAGACATTCGTCAGCAAGCCTCAAGCTCCCAGCAAGCAGTCAGTGATGTTTCCGGCTGTGAGCAGACACCGGGCCACAGGGCTCCTCTAAAGCTTCGCAACGGCCATTCTCTTCTCTCCCCGCAACCATCCGCTCCCACGCCACAGGCCTCATGGACAGCTGCCCCCGTCAATATGCGCTTGTTCAATCCATCCCGTACATGTTTTCGACTTCGTGAAATCACAGAGTCCAAGGCAGCCATGATGCAGCGCCAACCCCACGCTGTGTATAATGTCTTTGCTCGCGTGTTGTACTCTAGTCGAGAGAACTTCTTTCGAAGGCAACATTTCCAACTACGGGACTTGCTATCAGAGTCGCCGCCATATCTCACAGGATCCCTGTTAGGCTAGGAACGAGGGAGCTCTATTGATAATGCGGCCAGGGAGTTTCTCGAACCTACCCAAGCCGGACAAAAGTGTTTCTGTCGCTGCAAACTAGAGCCGTCTCCCAACACAGAGTCGGGAATCGCTCTTCGAATGCTGGAAATTCGACCCAGCACATGGAAAGAAATAAGGGAAGTACAACATCATTTGGAACGAAACGATCTGGACTGTATAATGTAAAGATGTAGCCGGAAAGGTGAACAAAAGCAAGACGAGTCTTGTCGGAATATTCTGTGGGTAAATAACATACAAGAAAACCAAAGTTCGTGTAATTGCATTCCATCTCAAGCTGTTTAATACGGTTGTTCATACCATCCACCATAGTTCTAGCTTTTAGTCTATCAATCCATGAAGATTCAATATCCCGCCGCGCCATCTTACCGTGAAAGCATGCAGGACAATCCATAATCACAGCCATGTCTTATTTACCCAAACAAATCTACCCCTTGGTTTCAGACGCTCAACCTAAAATCGCTCATGCCTTGATCTTCAGATACGGCACCATTCGCTTCTGGACAATGGCCCGAATCTCCCTCTGCTCCGTCGCAGTAAGCGGCTGTCTCGACGCAGGCTGTCTTCGTGCCCAGCTCTCCTCTGTCTCAACAAGCCTGACGTCGTCCTTGTCATCCGGTGACTCGGCAAATTGGTACGAACGACACATGCAATTTGTCCACGCAGTGGCTAGGGTACCTTATCAGTTTTTTTCTTCTATTCAGCGCCTGCGACAAGCTGAAAAGAGAAAAAAAGGGAGAGAAGAGGAGAGAAAATACTCACCTCTGTCTGTCGGCACGCCATCCCAATCATCCGTCAAAAAGTGCAGAAACCCGCCATGGCTCACCACGGCAATCTCGTCGTCTCCATCGCCCGCCATCTCTCTCAGCGCCCTCCTCGCGCTCTTGGCCCTCGCCATGAGCGCCTCCATGGTCGGCTCAAACGCGCTCCCCTCGCCCTTTTGCGTCCACGAGTCCTGCACGCGCTGCAGGTCGATCTTGTCGCCAAACTCTGCACGCAGCGCGGCCTTGCTGGATCCCGTGTCGCACGGCGCGTCAGAGACCTCCTGCAGCGTGTCGAGCAGCACGATGGGGTAGAGCCTGTCGGGGCCCCCAAAGGCCAAGTCGCACGTCTTGATGGTCCTTCGGAGCGGCGAAGCCACGAGCCTGGTGAGCCTGGCGTGCGACGGGAACGCGGACCGCAGGTCGGCGCACTGCTGCTCGCCGAGGGGCGTCAGGTCCGGGTCGCGGATAGATTCGTTTTCCACCGAGAGGTTGTGGATGCCCTGCGCGTGGCGGACGAGATGGATCGTGGGAGGCATCGTTGCAAAGTTTCTCGGCGAGGATTGAAACCCAGTCGAGGTCTACGCGGGGACCTTTTCGTACAAGCTGTGTGAATCGACGTCCAAGAGGGAAAGGGAGGCGGGATTTTGGGGGACGTGTGCAAAACCACGACAATCTGTTACGAATTCTTCAAACTCATTGACCACCCACCATCGTGAGTCCGGCCCAAGAAGAGGAACCCACTAGCTGCCATAAGTAGTTACCTAGTCTAGTCACTGCTCCAGTTTGGCACTACGCCTCTCCCACAGAATAACAATGTTGCGGTGCTCGGCCCCTGGCGATATGACGCTAATACGCCGTTCCCCGGAGTCCTGTGGCCCGGATGGCAAAACCGGAGGGGGGGGGGTTTTCGGTGCGAACCACCAGCCCATAACCGGGCGGAACTTCTCCTCTGGGCAACCTCGTCGTGCTGATGTGTGTGTGCGAGCCAATTGTGTGGAGGCTACTTCGTATTGTCCACGCCCTTTGAGCGATGCGGGGACGGTGGGGAAAATGGGTAACGACCTATTCGACCAAAAGTCTCAGACGGTCATGGGATCTGACCAATTGAGATATTTCAAGTTCTATCCCTTAGAGTGTGATAAAGTGCCAGCCAGGTATCGGTCCCCACTTTTCTGCGATACCTAGCGGGTACCTTTCTGGCCATAAGGTCAGCCACTCAGCTGCGATATGTGCGATGTAGCTCTTTGTAACTTAAAGGATTGTTAGTACTTTTATCATCATATTATTTCTTAGCGGGATTAAGTACCTTTAAATGTAATGTTTTTGATTGGCTAAAACCCTGGTCTGATACCTGGCTGGCACCTTATCACATTCAAAGGGATTGTTACCCGTGCCTACTCCGTATCCCCTCAGAGCAGTTAAGGCTCCAACGAGGTCGCGGGACCCACAACACCTGGTTACCTCAACTGACTTTGGTGACAGACCAAATCCGGCCACACCAAAACCCCCTACAACGCGGCACAAGAAGCCGTAATAGAGGTCTTTAACGGCGAATTTTTAATAGATGACAAAAATAGCATACGTGAGCAGGCAGCTGATAATACCTGCCGGCCTAATAACCCACCTATTGAGGCTCGTAGGCCGAGATTTTAACCTTTTTAACCTTCATATCGCGATGCCCTCAATCGCCGCCAGGCAGCTCGTTAATCGCGTTGAGGCTGCGAGTCTTCCGATGTAGCCCTTTCTAACTTGAAGGAATGTTAGTACTTTAATCATAGTGTAAATTACTGGGGAAATTCATGTACCCCTAAAATATGCGCTTTTAATTGGCTAAATCCTTGTCCCGTGACCTCGTTGGAGCCTTAACGGCTCTGAGGGGATTATGCGGCGGTAATGATGGGTCTACCAGCAAGGGTGGTACCCTTGGAATTAGAGGCAACTCGTATTATTGACCAAGTGACGACTGGCCAAATGTTCACAGTCACAGCCCCCAGTGCTCGGGGAATTGGGTTATTCATTGATGAGTATTACCCTCTAAAAGACGTATTCCACCTCCCTCTCATGCTGGACACCTGGCGTGAGGTGCACATCTGTTGTTACATACAACACGTCCAACTTTTGGTATCATCAACTAAAATAATAGCGTTCGTCAACCAGCCTTGGGAAATCTCTGCTCACCGGATGAGGTCGCTTCTGTTGGAGTGCCAATTTCATTGTTCCCGTAAGACTGCCGGCTGACAAGAAGATCGAGAAACACGTAACGCCTCGCCAATCTTCGCGTTTTCCCTCCATGACATAGCATCAAAGATCCCAAATACTATCAAAAAGATCAAATGAACACCAGGCAAAGCAATCACAGCTCGATTAGCGCTTCCTCTTGTACAGGCTTCTTCATGGGTTCATGTTGTGGTACCGACGGGAATGTAGGCTGCGTGTATCCAGTATAAGCCCATGACTGAGGAGCCCCTGGCTGTTGCTGAGGCGTTTGTTCTGTAGACCGGTGAGCAGCAGGCTGGTGCCAGTACTGCTGCTGAGCTGGCTGTTGCTGCGCCGTGGGTTGCTGCTGCTGAGGGACCAAAACTTGCTGGCTTTGCGGTTGAGACTGGGTTTGGGTTTGGGAAGGCCGACGACCTGCCTGGGCTGGCTGAGCATGGGATTGCATCGGTGTTGCTTGGTTGGGTGCAGTAGTGGAAGCTGGCTGCTGATACTGCATGGAATGCTGGAGACTAGGATATGGCGACGGAGTTGAGTCCGGAGCTGGCCCAGGTGCAGACGGGCCAGAGGGCGCTTGCACCGGGTGCTGTTGCTCAGAGCCGAAATAGTACGAGCCTCGACGGTCTGTCGACGGTGAGACGGGAGCTTGCTGGGGCGTTTGTATTCCTTGCGCTGGTTCTACTACAGGTGCCTGCTGCGGATGATACGGGTCTTGAGGGACAGATGGAGCCCGTGTCTGCCAACTGTACGTTCTCTGAGGTGGCGCATATTGGCCTGTATGAGGCTCTGAAGGCTGGCTATAGGAAGCGAATTGAGGCCGAGGAGTTGCTTGTGGTGGAACTTGCTGTTGTTGATACGATTGAGCTGGAGGGACTTGAAAACTTGGAGGAGGCGCTTGCCCCGTGTAGAAGCTTTCAGCGACACCAGGATTGGCATGAGCTTGTAACGGCATAGAAGGGTATGCACCTGTAGGCTGCCGAGGAGGCGGTAGACTGTAGCCACCTAGATTTTGCTGACTATAGGCTTTTGAAAGGCGTTCTTCCAGCATACGATCGTAATAGCGAACCACGGTGGACAGCTTGGCATGGAGATCAAGTAGCGTATCTACAGTGCGCAAGTTAGCAACGTCGATGCTTTGCCAAAAAGTAACAGTAGATGGACTTACCGTGCTTGCTCATAGTTTCACCATACGTTCTTGCCAGCTTCGGACGCAAAGTGCCGATACTGTCATAAAGTTCCTGAATCTGCGGCTCGCGTAATATCGTTCCTGGTGGTTGGGTTTGGAGACGGTCAACCAGTGTGGCAAAGAGGTTGATGTTCTCGGCTTCAACAGGAGTCAATTCGTAGTCGTTTTTTGGGAGAACGAATGGTGTTGATGATGAACCAGTAGGACGGTTTGATGTTTGTTCCTTGAGTGCAGCAGCATGTCTCTTCTTCTGTTCCTCCATGTCGGCTAGGGACGCAGCAATCGCGGCTTTTAAATCAGCATCCTCCTCTTCCTCTAGCTTTGATGAGTCCTTTGTCGCCTTAGCCCTGTTTGCTGCTGGCTCCACATAGCCTCTAGAGGTGTTCTTGACATCTTCCAAGCTCATTGCGAGTGCCTTCTTCAAGTCTTCGTCGAAACCATCATCCACACGCGCATTCCGAGGCTGCATGGCCGATGTACTGCGAGTTTTGTGCGGGTACGTGGGTGATCGATCCGGCGGACCAAGTTCCCTGTAGCCCTTGCCCGTCAGCTTCGCATAACAACCATCGTCAACTCGGACCGGTGCGTGAATGCCCAAATGTGGTAGTGGGATCGTCTTGCTGGAGCATTGCTGATCGAAGCAGTTGCCACAATTTCTGCAGTGATGCTTTCGATTCGTAAACGTAAAGGCGGTTCGACAGCGCATGCAAACGTCTGAATCGGCCCATTCGGGAGGCTACAACAAAATGAAATGGGTCAGTAATCGGTCGGAGTTGGACCTAATCAAATAAACTCTGATATCATACCGCGCTACTGTCAATCATGCTACTGGCCACCGTCACTCGGGGAGGAAATTGATATCCCTCTCGCTGCAATGTTTTGTAAACCTCGTTAATATAGGATAGATCGTGTCTGCCCTCAGTGGCTGCTGCCCATTGCTGCACAAGCTCGAGAATCTTGTTCTTCACGTCGGCGTTGACCGCAACGGCTCCAACAGCTTGCAAAAGTGATACCAAATTGTCCATAAACTCGCGCGAGGCAACCTCCACAAGGAAATGCGATCCGCCATTCTTGACACAGGTGTCTGTGAGCTGTTGGAATAATGTGTTAGCGAAGATGTCATGGTAGCCGACGAGAAGCCAGCCGCCGCATACATTCAAGGCACTTAGTTGGGTGTTTGGGTTCTTATTTCCAATTCGCTTCTTGAGGGATCGCATGGCCTCTTTGGGCGCTACGGTTTTGGATCTGATGATGTCGGATATCTCAAGGTTCAAGGCGATGTCCTCCCTGTCACCACGGTCAACAAAGGCTGCGATATGCTGGCACCTGCTGGGCACAGGCGGGGCCATCATGGTACTCACAAGCTGCTGCTTGTTGCCTTCTCAATCTGCTCATCCAGGGCCGTGTTGGCCGAGGATGACCACCAGCTCATCATGGTGGCGATGGGTGGTTCCGGACCTGGGGCAGAACGAGGAGATGGCGATGCTGGCTTTGCTCGAGAAAAGTAGGTCGGCGAAGGCGGGGCGGGCGAGCAAGAGACGACAGCGGCAAGCTACAGCAAGCGGATGCAAAAGACGATGCGTCGCCGTGTCCCACACTTTAGAGGCTGATTGAAGATGGATGGTGACTCGTGGATGGTAGATGGCAGCCTTGCCAAGGACGATGAGGAAGGTGTGGTGCCGCCTCAGCTCGGGTTAAAGCTGGCCGCTTGGTTACGTTGGCAGCCGGGCGTTGCGTCAGTAATGTGGAGCACGGGACGACGACCAGTTGACGTCTCGACAATCTGACTCTTGCGGAAACGGGTTGCATGAGAGTGCGAAAGAAATAACTACATAGTAGTAGTACCCGGACACTCAGCAGGCCTTGCAAATAACTACAAGCCTTATCCAGTGACCGAGTCCCGATATTTGACAGTTGCGCACCTGGTGTTCCATGGGTATGGTCGAACGTCAGCGCTGTAGCTCAGGCAACTATTACTGTAAGTGGACGCATGCACTGGCCTCTGAGTAGCGGGTTGGCGGGCTTGAGAAGGCTCCTGCCTTCCACGGTTGGGTGCTTTCAAGTATTAACCTGGTTAGAATGTCCAGTGCCAAGCGTCTAGTGCCCAAATGCCCAAGGGCTCAGCATTGAAGCGCT